TTGATGACCAGATGCCCACTTGATCTAACTATAGGTGAACCTTGAAATAAGCAAAACAAGACGGAGCTTAAATATTTAAATTGGGGCTTTTTACAAAAATCCAATGCAATTCTCTGGTGCTAATGGGCAGATTATTTAATTTATCTTAATTCATCCAGCTAGCAAAATCCTACTGCCATCCAATAGTAGATCCCATTTTTAAAAAAATTTCTCTGAGATTGTTGCAGTGATATAGGTAGACATGCAGGTGCTGTCAGAGAGAAAGGTCCAAGATTTTAACCTACAGGTAGTGAAGGAACAGCAATACATTTCCAAGTCGGATTGGATAGTGCATTTGCAGGTAGTGGTGTTTCCATGTACCTGATGTCCTTGACCTTGTAGGTTAGTAAAGGTTGTAGTTTGGAAAATGTAATCATAGGGAGGCTTGGTAAGTTGCTGCTATGTATTCACGAATGCCCTTTAGGGAAGGAAATCTGTCACTGTTACGTAGTCTGGCCTATATGTGACTCCAGACCCACAGCAATGTAGTTGACTCTCAAGTGCCCTCTAGGAAATTAGGGATGGGCAATAAATACCAGAGAAGCCAGCACCATCTACATTCCATGAATGAATTAAAAAAAAAATGGTACACACTGCTGCTACTATGCATTGGTGGTGGAGGGAATGAATGTTAAAGGTCGTGCATGAGTTACTAATCAACCAGGCTGCTTTGTCCTGGATGGTTTCAGGTTTCTCATGTGTTGTTGAAGCTGCATTCATCTAGACAAGTGGAGCGGCTTCCATCCCATTCCTAACATGTTTCTTTCTAGACGGTGTGTTAGGTTTGGGAGGTCAGGATGACTCCATAATTCCCAGCTTCTGACCTGCTCTTGTAGCCACAATGTTTATATGGCTAGTCCAGTTGAGTGTCTGGTCAATAATAATCCCCAGGAATCTTGATAATGATCATTTTGGTTGATCATTTTACACATAATTTTACACACAGTTATGAGATTGATGGCTCAAACAGTTATGTTTTATCAGTTTCTCAACTGCTTTGGTTTTTGGCACCATATTACAGTATGCAATTTCAAAATTCTGATCGCTGTCCTAATTCCACAAACTCTTTCATAATGATTATAATTTTTTCATGAATCCTTTCCATCATCTCTCATAGCAGGCTGAGATAAATATCCTCAAGCTTTGATGATTTTTTGAAGCACTTGTTTTTATTTCAAGATTTCCCTATCATACATAGGAATGATATTGTTTGAAAGATCTTAGACAATAAGATACAGGAGCAGAATTGGGCCATTCAACCAATCGAGACTGCTCCGCCATTTGATCATGGCTGAGACGTTTCTCAGCCCCATTCTCCTGCCTGTTCCCTACAAATCCTTGACCCGCTTACTGATCAAGAACCGATCTATCTCTCTACACTCAATGACATCGTTTAAACAGTCTTTTGTTGCAACAATTTCCACAGATTCTTCCTCATCTCCATTTTAAAGGGTCATCCATCATCTGAGGCTGTGCCGTCAGGACTTAGTCTCTCCTTTGAGTGGAAATATCTCCGCGTCCACTCTATCCAGGCCTTTCAGGAATTGTTAAATTTCAATCAAATTCCACTCATCCTCCTAAAGTCCGAGTATAGACCCAGAGTCCTCAACCACTCCTCATATGACAAACCTTTCATCCCCGGGATTATTCTTGTAAACCTCCTCTGACCCAGCACCTCCTTACTTAGATACAGGGCCCAAAACTGTTTACAGTATTCCAATGCAGTCTGACCAGAGCCATATACAGTCTCAGCAGTATATATTCTACTTTTGTATTCTAGCCCTCTTGAAATGAATACTAACATTGCATTTGCTTTCCTAACTGCCAACTGAACCTTTTAAGAGAATTTTGAACTGTGCCTCCCAAGCCACTTTGTGCTTCAGATTTCCAAATCCCTTCCTCACACCTCTACACCTCTATTCTTCCTACCAAAGTGTAGAACCTCACACTTTCCGACATTGTATTCCATTTGCCACTTATCTTCCCCATCTCCCAGCCTGTCCAAGTCCTTCTGCAGAATCTCTGCTTCCTCAATACTACCTGTCCCTCCACCTATCTTCGTGTTATCTGCAGGCTAAGCAACAATGCCCTCAGTTCATTCGTACAGATAATGTATAACATGAATATTGCAGACCCAATACTGATTCCTGTGAAACTCCATACTCACTGGTTGCCATCCTGAAAATAGCCCCTTTATCCCTATTCTCTGCCTCCTGCCAGTCAGCCAATCCTCTATTCATGCCAATACCTTTCTCACTAACACCATGGGCTCTTATTTAGCAGCCTCCTGTGTGGCACCTTTTGTTGAGATATGTTCTGGTGTTCCCTTGTGAATACCTGAGGGATGGAATCACTTATAGTATTGACATTGAATTTCTCCTTTTTATTTATGATACCACTTGTTCATTTTCTAAGCTTTGCTGTTCTGAGGACCTGAATGTTAAAATGAAAGCAGCTTGGGCAATTTGTTAAACATCATGGATCATTATCAGTTTACCTAAAGTTTGATTTAATTTAAATAGCTATTTATTCTTGTATTTTATAATTTTCAGAATCCCATGATTATTTAGTCCTTGGCTTGGCTATAATTTGTACGCTATTATTACCTATGATACTAGTTGGAATTTACCTATGGAGAAAACGGTCAAAAGGTAAGAAAATCCTTAAACTTACAAACAAATGAAACAATATTTTATTAATTTGTTTTCTTTTGTTCATTTTCGGTCAATGGAAGTTGTTAGCAAGGCCATCATTTACAATCCATGCCTTGTTGCCCCTGAAAATGTGCTGGTGGGCTTTCAGGTTGAATCCCTGTACTCTGCATGATGAAGGCATTCCCACATTGCTCCTGGCTAGGGTGCTCTAGAATTTTGAGACAACGATGATGAGGCAGTGTAATCCAGGTTTGAATCACAGGCCTGAATCTCTGAGCACTAACATTGTTGAGTGGATTACTGCTATACTCAGAAACTCCCCAACTTAATGCTGCTGCACATTGTTTTTGGGATGTTACAATCCTGACGTTCACTGAATTGCGTACAACACAGCGTTCCTTAGGTAACTGTCAGAATGGAATAGGGAGAGCACAGGACAGGCCCAGTTTATACACCAATAATCACAAGGCAACTTTATAGGTCCAGTCTTTTAACGTTATTAAATGAATGAGTGAATAGATGAGTGGGTAATTGGTTGACTGGGTGAGTGAGTGATTGGGTAAGTGAATGGTTAGTTGCATGAGGTTGGTTGTGTGGGTAAGTGGTTAGGTGGGTGAATGGGTACTCAGGTTTGAGTGAGTCAGGGTTGGGCCACATTGGAGGAATTGTCAAACAGTTGGGGGTGTGTTAGGGATGCAGTTGGCTGGTTGGAGGCAGTTGGGTCATATTGGGAGGGTACTTGTGTCAGGGTAGGGGATTGTAAACACAGAATTTTCCCTGATGCTATGGACAATGATTATTGCTTAACCAACTTGGCAGATGGATTTTGGATACCCTATTATATTAATGTTTGTGGAAGCTTGTTGTAATGAAGCTAAATGCCGTACTTCCAACATTACTAATAAGACCACACTTTGAAAATACTTCATTGCCTTTAAAGCATCTTTAGACAAACTGAGGTTGTTATAAAAATGCAAGTCTTTCTTTCTTCCTAATTTATTTTTTGTGTTAATAATTAACAATAAGGTAATATTCATAGATAAAATGACTTCACCAAAACTCTATACATTATTGAGTGATTTCAATAATATGATTAAAATGTCAATCGGTTTTCTGATACGTGTGATATAAAAAAAATCATCTTTTATACTTTGATGAGACCCAACAAGATAAATGTTTGTTCCCACAAGTCAAGTACTGATGCTGCAACAGAAGGAAAGGAGAAAGTGGATACTAACTGGACCATTGTGTTGTAGATAGTAGACCAGATTAGGCAACATATGGTCTGTAAGTTATCAGGTCCTCTCATGGCATGGGCTGATCCGTCACTCAGATGATAACATAGTCAAGTAAGTGCTAATGTCTAAGAACAGGGGTGTTGTTATGATGTCTTGCTTTGTTTGGAAGACTTGAGTCAGAAAAGCCTGTAATCTTTACAAATGAAATATCTTTCCTTTGCTTGAGTGCAGTGTCAAACCCAGAAAGCACATAAGATAGCAGTGCCTGAGAAAAGAATGCACAAATAAGCCATTGCTAGAGAAGTGCTCAGAAAAGAAAATGCTAATGGATGAAACAGATGGTAGAGGCAACAAATGTGATGAAATGTTTTTGTACTATTTAAAGTGGAAATAAAAGCATTGTTTGTCACTCAGGCATTGAAACCACAAAATACGACTTCAGATATTCATGGAAATAATAGCTGTGTCATTTAGAAATCTTTACTGTGTGTTAAAAGAGAGTGACCACTCCAGAAAAGTCCCTTAAAGTTGTTGTTTGGTGTTACTTAAGCTTAAAAGTCACTCAGAGCAAGTTAGACAGCCTATTCTGACCTGTGGTCAACTATTTAATTTGCCCCTTGACTTACCACTGAACATGTAACTACCTCCCAGCTATGACCACTGAGCTCAACTAAATACATACCGTATGTCTACAACATTTCTTATGTATTTTTGTGCTTATGTAGAAGTACAGAACACCCCCTCAAAGGCTGAAGCCGGTATTAACAATCAAGTGAAACATTCTGATGAGTTTCAAAATCTGATGAGGGCAGAACCTGAAGGCAGGCTTGGACTCACTCATGTTAAATGTTACTCAAGGAAAGTTAGCCAATTAACAACCTACTCTAACCTGTATGTAACTATTCAATTCACCCCTTGACTTACTACTGAACATCTAACTACTTCCTGGCTATGACCATTGAGCTGAAATAAATATGTAGGCATTTTTCAATGACAAAGATATTGTTGCTATAGTTTCCATCATACTACATGTTTACAACATTTCTTGTGTATTTTTGTGCTGATGTAGAATCACAGAACACTCTCTCAAAAGATAATGTCGGGATTGACAATCAAGTGGAACTTTTGGATGAGACACAAAATCTGATTGGAGCAGAAACTGAGGGTAGGTTTGGACACACTCAAGTTAAAAGTTACTCGAGGAAAGTAAGATAATTAATATCTACTCTAACCTGTGGATAACTATTTAATTTATCCAAGGCTTACGATCCAAATATTCTCTAACTCTGGCCATTACCACCTCTGTCCCAACACTGCCTGGATCTAATCTCCCAAACACTCCCCCGTGACTCAACTCCACCTGGCCCAAAAACCAATTGCCGCTGCTGCATCCAGCAGATGCTGATCTAAACATTTGACATACCTTAAACACCTGTCTGTTTATCTGGTCACCAAACTCTCACTCTTGCACCCAACTGCCTCGCCCACCTGAACCCATAACCTCACACACATGTCAACCCTACCATCTCAACCAACTGGAAACCTAGACCCTCACCCACTGGTACCCAACACCCACACATATACTACCCAACCCTGTACCAACTAACAATCCACCCCTACACACAACTGGCACATAACCTGCTACTGACTGCCACCAAATCCCCACACCTACATGTTTATCCTTTGACAGTCGCTGTCAAAGTAGCTGCTGTTTGTTTAACCTAAAGAATACAATACTCGCTGACATAAAAGAAGGTTTAATTTCAATGATGATCTTCCCTATTGCTAGCACCATTGTTTTGTTTATTCATGGGATGTAGAAACCATTGACTAGGCCAGGATTTATTACCCATCCCTAATTCCCCAGAGAGCAGTTGAGAGTCACTTACACTGCTGTGGGTCTGGAGTCACATGTAGGCCAGACCAGGTAAGGATGGCAGATTTCCTTCCCTAAAAGACATGAGTGAACCAGATAGGTTTTTCCCCTAACAAATGGCAATGGTTTCATGGTCATCATTCAATTCTTACCTGCAGAATTTTGCTTCCATCCTTTGGGTAAGTTATCGGTGAATCTTCATGAACAAAATGACAATAAACCATGTAAACAGATGGTGTAAAGGTGCAGTAATTCAGTGATCGTGCTTTTGGCTTAAATTAAAAGAACACATATGCATATGTTTGAACATAATACACTTTTGTCCGCATATCGGTGCTACTATTTCCGGTTAAATGTTGCATTAATGAACTTACAGACAATGCGGAATTGTTATCCACCATTGACATTAACTGTAGGTAGACTTCTAATTGTGCTGGCCTGAATATTCCTGAAGCAGCAAGTTTCATACATTAGCAGAAGTGGTTCTTCAATATTTGGTTCTTCAAGATACCATGGAATTTATTCCAAAATTACCTTTGTGGTGTTTAATCATTGCTCAAATAATTCTACCTTAATGGAAGGATATGTGGAATTTCTTGCAATAAATTTCAGTGTTCAAGGAAATTCCAAATGTGATGACAACCCGTAGGAATGCATCATTGCATCACAATTATTCCACGCTTGAGTCAAGATATTTGCTCAGCTTTGTGACTGCAGCTTAACAGACAGGCCGAGAACTCTGGGCATTTCGTAAAATACACTTAAGTGACTCCCACTGTGGACGTTTCTGGACAGGAATCGATTGTCATGAAAAG